TGGAGCAGAGTTTTAACACAAAATCATCAATAAAGGGCTGTGGAGAACAGGTTTAACAGGAAATCAGCAGTGAGGGACTGTGGAGCAGGGTTTTAACATAAAATCAGCAATGAAGAGCTGCAGAGCACAAGTTTTTCTCCTTGGAGGGGCAGCTTTACAAAAKCCAGATGTAAGCATGCCCAAATGCTGTGAAAAGCAAGGGTTTGGCCACTGCCAGGTTTTTTGGGGATAAAGCCATGAGGACAGAGGTTCTGAGTCCCCATCCAGACAGGAATGCACCCACAGCCCCGCTCAGTGCTCCCTGTCCATACAATGAGCTTGGGATCCCACGGAGCTGAGACACCCATCCGATAAATCTTTAATCACCAAGGTCGCCAAGGTCGGTGGGGGATGCAAGGAGATGGAGTCACACCTCAATACCTCGCCTGCCCCTTACCTTTTCCCTTCGCCCGGAGGAAGGAAGGGAAGATCCGCTCTTTGGCAGCCCGCGGGAAAGCCGCGGCTCCGGCTGCTCCCGGGCCCGGCAGGTGAGGGGGGAGCGCGGATACCTGAGAGGGGACGAGCCCGATGGAGGATGGAGGGAGGGAGAGAAGGAAGGAGAACAGGGCAGGAGCCCTGCGTTGCCTGGAGACCGCAAACACTGCCCGGTGCGGGTGTCCCGAGGGCGGGGACGGACACGGGCAGCGGGCCGGCGCTGCTGCTGCCGCATCCCCGGGGAAAGGATCCCCCTCACCTCAGGGAAAGGATCCTCATTATCTGAGAGAAACGATTCCTCGCCTTGGGGAAAGGGTCTTCCTCACCTCGGGGAAAGGTTCCTCCTCACCTGAGAGAAACGATCCCTCATCTTGGGGAAAGGATCCTCATTATCTGAGAGAAACGATTCCTCRCCTTGGGGAAAGGATCCCCCCTCACCTCGGGGAGAGGATCCTCCTTACCTGGGAGAAACGATTCCTCACCTTGGGGAAAGGGTATTCCTCACCTTGGGGGAAAGGATCCTCCTCTACCTGGGGAAAGGATCCCCATCACTTGGGGGAAAGGATCCTCCTCTACCTGGGGAAAGGATCCCCATCACTTGGGGGAAAGGATCCACCTCACCTCGGGGAGAGGATCCTCCTTACCTGGAAGAAACGATTCCTCGCCCTGGGGATAGGATCCCACTCACCCTGAGGAAAGGATCCCCATCACTTTGGGGAAAGGATCTCCCTCAACTCAGGGAAAGGATCCTCATTATCTGAGAGAAACGATCCCTCACCTTGGGGAAAGGGTTTTCCTCACCTTGGGGAAAGAATCCCCCCTCACCCTGGGGAAAGGATTCCCATCACCTCAGGGAAAGGATTCTCCTCACCTGAGAGAAATGATCCCTCGCCTTTGGGAAAGGGTCTTCTCACCTTGGGGAAAGGATCCTCATTACCTGAGAGAAACGATTCCTCACCTTGGGGAAAGGATCCCACTCACTCTGGGGAAAGGATCCCCCTCATCTGAGAGAAATGATCCCTCACTTTGGTGAAAGGGTCCTCCTCATCTTGGGGATAGGATCCCCATCATCTTCAGGGAAGGATCCCCCTCACCTTAGGGAAACTAACCCAGGTTACGAACCTCAGCAGGACAAGTTATAGGGCATTTCTTACAGGGAACAGAAAACTCTGTAGTGCAACTGACTTTTAGCCTTACTCTTCTAATAATAAGCCTTATTTTTTGATTACAAATGTTATTTTTAATGGCAACCCTTATTTTTTTTAAATAAGAACCCTTATTTTTCAATAATAACCTTTATTTTTAAATCATTACCCTTTTTTAAAAATCATAACCCTTATTTTTTAGGAATGAAACAATTTTTAGCAGTAAGTCAACTCTGTACAGAGGGGTGTTTAGCCTGATGATGTCTCTTTAAGTCAGGGCCACTCCAAAGTCCAACTCTTTCCTTCTCTATGTTCCTTGACATTCAAAACAGAAAAAAAAAAACCCCTCTATGATGGATGGAGATTTTTTGACWTTTTATTACGAGTTTGCCCATTACGTTGATTTGATTACTTTCACTTTAATTACCCTAATTAGCCATCAAGACATAATTTAGCATCGCTGTCACATCGGGCCACAGGTGATATTGCCAGGAAAGACTCAAGGGCACGAAAGAAGCAGTTCTGAAATAGAAATCACATTAAGTGGAGCTGGGCTGATCAAATTCCTCTGCCCCTCCATGGAGGCTCAGGCAGAGCTTGTGGGAATAAAACAGGACCGGAGTCTCTGACGGAGCCTGGTCCAGGCTGCGAAAATCATTACCCATCATCTGACTCTGCTGCATGACTGAGTGGGCTGGAAGTTGCTTCCAGCCACATTTTGCCCTGTAGATATAGAGAATGTGAGGATGGCAGTGTCCTCCATCCATCATTTCCAGCTGAAAAAGTSCAGTTTGGATAAAGATCCTGTGTGCTGCCTGCTTTACATGGAAAGACAGAAAGACAGCAGCCACATTTTATTGACTTAAATTTCATGTTGTGTATCAACCTTAAATCAGTTTAGGTTCCTAACTTTGGACCTCGAAGGAATAAGAGGAGCAACATCTGAGGATCTCAAAGGAAAAAGGGAATATTTCTCTGTGGCCTGGTGTGATCCCTGAGTGTGTGAGTTCACCCAATGTGAAAATCCCAGGTGGAACCAGCAATACCACTTAAAGTCTCCTAAAATTCTTCTCGGGGCCCCTGACAATTTGCTGTGTGTTCTGTGGGGTTGATAAGACAAGCTCCTTTCCTAAAAGGGTCATAAAAACACAGGGGAAGGGGCAGAAGGGAAACTGTGGAGATGTTTATCCAAACATTAAATATTAAGTCTGCTACACACTCATTAAATAGTAACCCTACTACAACAGCTCCTKGGGATGTCTCTGATTACTGATGAATTTTTAAAGGGAGGTGGATAGGGAGGGAGTAAACACAACCCAAGTTTGCAAACTTTGTTTTTTTCCTGCTTTGCAGAGCAGGAGATGCACAAACACGTGTCTGTAACAGCCCTTTCAGTGACGGGGCTGAGAAATCTTGCACTTGTTCCTTTTAAATCTTCATTTAATCTTTAAATCACTTATTCCTTTAAATCTTGCATTTATCCTCAATGCCTGCAGTGTGTGTAACAAGTCCCTTTCCTTATGGCTTTTAAATTCCAAGTGTAGCCATGGCTGAGAAACCAGCAATTTGGGGTTGAAAATTTGGCTTAAAAATAGAGGAGGATGATCTTTCTTTGACAGAAATGAGTGTGATGGGGTCTGGTGTTAATAAAATGAAAAAATTGTTTATTTGGCAAATGTTTTTCACTCTGAGCACTACCTGGGCTGGAGAGCAGACATCAAATCCTGCTCTCTTTAGGCTGGTGTAAATGGCACCAAATTCTGCTTTCTTTAGCCTGGTGTAAAAAGTATGATCAAATTCTGCTCTCTTTAGGCTGATGTAAAAAATGGCACCAAATTCTGCCTTCTTTGGGCTGGTGTAAATTACACCAAATTTTGCTCTCTTTAGGCTGGTGTAAATGGTAAAAATTCTGCCCTGTTTAGGCCTGTACAAGCATTTAGGCTGGGGAATGAAGATTTTTGCCCTGGCTGATCCAGGCTGGGTGTCCCAGTGCCCTCCCCAGAGAAGCTCTGGCAGTGTGTGAAGCCACACGATGAAATTTCATCCAGAGGCATCTTCAGTTCCATGCCCTCAGTCTGCCAGTGGAACTGGGATGCTGGGAGCTCTGTTGCCAGCCTGGGGCAGGATTTGCTTCTCTCCTGGAGGGAATTTGTGTCCCCATGTCCCCAAAGCTGCTGCCCTCCCTTTGGGGCAGAGCAGATTTCAAAGGGAGATCTCTAAGGTTGGTTGGTGACAGATCAGCTTCCTACCATGGTTTGGGAGGACTGGATACGTGGAATATTTGTTTTCAGGATCTTTTATGTGCTGTTTTTATCACAGAATCACTGAGGCTGGAAAAGATCTCCACTCTCAGAGTCCAAGCTGTGACCCAGCCCCACCTTGTCCCCAGYMCAGAGCTCTGAGTGCCACGTCCAGGCCTTCCTCGGACACCTCCAGGGATGGGGACTCCAAACCAAACTGTCCAAACCTCCGAATTCTGGCTCAGCACCCGGGGAGGGACATTGGAACAGGTTTGCTTGGACAAATTCCTCAATATGCCAAGCAATGGCATTAAAAAAAAAATCAACACCCTCTGCTTCTGTTCTTCCCAGTACAAAGTGGCCAYGGTCACATTTCTGTGGCGTGATATCTGCCATGTTTATTTAGGATATAAACRTTTGAGGTGAGGATAGTGATGATGGGGTGAGCCTCAGAAGGGATTCCCAACGCTGCTGAAATTTGGAATAACAGCCTGTGAGGGATAAAAAAGGGGAGCTGTTAATGTTGCCAGCTCAGATTRAACAGCCCTAACCAGCTCACTTCATCCCTCCTCTGTTAACATTGAAGCTTTCTGCTGTTATTTCCCCTCATTCCTTCCCTGCTTTCCAAACAAACAGGGATGAGGGGATGTTGTTAGTGGATAACTCGTTTGGTTCTGCTGTTCCCAAGTCCTCTGGGGCCTCGGTGAGTTCATCAACCAGCCATGGCAACATTAATCACCCAGAAAAATAGCACGGAGTGAAATGACTTCTCAAAATGTCGTTGGGATAATTATCATCTCGGCCATTACATTAAATGCCACCATTTAT